ATCGGAAGACATAAGTGACCAAGAAAACCTTAAGGTATGTTTTTGTTGCTTTGTCTCGTTTAAGTTACTTAGATGGTGTAGGTGATTTTTGGTTTTTGTTTTAATGTTAAGGTGAATTTATTTGGTTGAGGATTCTCTATTATAGGTCGAAAGCGACAATGAAGATGATGAATTACCTGATGGGATAGAGGATGATGAAGTAGATAGCATGGAAGATGATGAGGGAGAGAGTGAGGAAGATGATGAAGGAGATAACAAGGAAGACGAGGATGGAGAAAGCGAGGACTTTAAAGATGGAAATGATAAGGAAGGTAATGATGACAATAAAGATGCTCAGATGGAAGAGCTTGAGAAAGAGTACATGGAGCTTCGTTCACAAGAACAGTAAGATTTCATTTGAACTAATCAGTTTTAAATACCTTTATTTCTAACATAGTGAATTCTTGTATGTGTTTCTATCTAGAAACGGTAGATAGTCTTATTGAAGTTTCAGCTGTTTAATCTAGAGCATAAACAAGAGTGTTGGCTAGATTTAGAAGTAGGTTCGAACTCATTATAGCAATTAGATTTATTCTTGATTAGTAGAAAATCTATACGTTTAAAGGAAAAGAACAGACTTTTGTTAAAAGTTTTTGTCAGATACTCTGTCTTAATTCTGTTGCATCGTTTAATTTTAAATGAATGATTGAGAGACAAAAGAATGTTCTTTTGTGTAATATGCGTGTTCCTGGTATAGGGATATATTGAAGAACTTGAAGCGTGATAAGGGTGAAGATGCTGTTAAAGGTCAAGCGGTGAAGAATCAGAAGGTATGACCTTGTTTTATGGTTTGTGAAGTAGTCTTTCTAGAAATCAGTTGTAGTTGTATATTCCTATTTTATGTTAATGAAGTTGATCTAGAGGTAATTTTTGTTTAAAACGATTCTTTCTTTGTGCTCTATGTGAAGGCTCTTTGGGATAAAACTCTGGAGTTCAGATTCTTACTTCAGAAAGCATTTGATCGTTCAAACAGATTGCCACAGGTAAGCTATGCTCTTCTCCTCTTCTATTTATGGTTGTTTGTTTCACCATGCTTATGACAGAAGGTAATCTTTTTCAGGAGCCTGTGAAATCGTATTTCTGTTCGGAAGATGAGGATGTCTCAACAGCATATACAGATCTAGTTACTTCATCTAAGAAGACATTAGATTCCCTCTTGGAGTTGCAAGAGGTATGTATGCATAGGCTTGATTCAGTAACTGTGTACTGTCTCTTAGTGTTTTGTCTCTCTGCCACCTTTGTTTACTCTTATTATCCAAATATTGATTTCTGCAGGCTTTGTTTGAGAAGAACCCCTCGGTTGATCAACAAGTGAATGGTATGCCATATTTAACAGAAAACATAATTATTATAACTATAAGCGAGGGGCAATATAACATCTCCTCCTTTTTCTATCTGGTCAGGAACAGCTAGTGCAGAATCCAATAAATCAGATGCAGAAGATAGCGATGAATGGCAGCGAATATCTGACTTGCAAAAAAGGTATTGTCCGGCTTTAAAGTTCTGTCCAAGCAAAAGAATTCTTTTTAGTAAAAACATGATTGACTTCATTTGGAGACGAGTCTCAATAACCATTTATGTTTCATTGTTAAGAAAATATTGGTCTTTGCTATGTAGAATGTCTGTGTTCCGAAACAAGGCTGTGGACAAATGGCAGAGAAGAACACAAGTCACAACTGGTGCAGCAGCTATTAAAGGAAAGCTCCACGCCTTTAACCAAGTATAGACAACAAACCCCAGAGATGATTTTGCTCTTAAACAGCTGGGTATCAATCATGAATCTAACTTTGAATTAATTTTCAAAACCAGAACGTTAGTGAACAGGTTGCCTCCTACATGAGGGATCCAAGTAGAATGATTAAACAAATGCAACAATCAAGATCTACTGTTGCTGTTTTTGGAACTGTAAGTTTTGGCTTTAATAATAAAATCATAAAGCACCCAAGGTGGCCTTGGTGGTCAATACATCAGCTTCTCTACAGTTTGTTCTGACTCTAAATTTACACATCCACAGGTCCCTCTGGAGGCCATAGAACCAATTCCAGAGGTATAATCACGGTTTTCTCTAACCAAGCTAGAGAGTATCAAATCATTTTATCAATCTTATTGATTATTTTAATGCCCATTCTCTAACATATGTGCTCTTTCTTGCTCAGGAAAAACAACAAGAAGGAGACCCTGAACTTGTGGAGGATGCTGAGTTCTATAGGCAGTTACTAAAGGAGTTTCTTGAGACCATCGATCCAGCTTCCTCGGGTATAGTAAAAAATACATCCATTAGATATGAAAATTCCCCTAGCGATTGTTATATCCAACAACTCAAGTGTAAAAAGGTCTTTTTGGTATTCTGAAATCTCTCAATATTTGCCATTGGCAGAGGCGGCTTTCTACGAGATGAAGAAGTTTCAGACGAAGAAGAGGAAAATTGTGGATCGACGTGCCTCCAAGAGCAGAAAGATCAGGTAAATAAAACACACGTAGTTTCGACTCTTGGAGGTTTAATTTCCCTAATTCTCTCTTATGAATCATGTCGTGTAAAAAACGAAACAGGTATAATGTTCATGAGAAGATTGTCAACTTCATGGCTCCACGGCCAGCAAAGATACCTCCAAACACTGCGGATTTGCTCAAGAATCTCTTCGGTCTCAAGACCAGAAACGTTCAGTCTGAAGCGTAACCGCAATTTTGAAACAGAGCAATAGATCTACTTTATTTTTGTGTGTTGTAACACTATCGACATCGTTTCTGATTGAAAGCCAGATTTGGAAAGCAACGAGTTATTTCGTCCTCGTTCTTCAACATTTATAGTTTGAACTTTGAACTTGTGTACAAATTTATTTAAATCGATTTGGAATCATTTTTTTTTTTTTTTTTTTTTGTTAACAACGGATTTTAGACAGTATTTAAATTCATTAAACGAATTTAACGCAATATTCGATCAATAGAACATAAAATTTGAAATAACATCATTGGTTGGTAACTTGGTATAAATAACATCATAATTTAAGTTATCTAGTTATCTTTATCTTCAAAAATAAAAACAAATCACAAAAAAAATAAACCCGATGATGTCACAAAAATTCATGTGGGTTGTTGTTTCGAGTGAAGCTAAACGTAGTAACTTTTTCCACAAGCTAGACGTAGCGCCCAAGAACCAAACAAATCGGATATATATATTTTTTCAATTATCCAAACTTATTTCTAAATAGATTCATTTATGGGTGAATTAGCTGTATAACCAAAATGACAAAAGAAATTAAGAATATAGCAGGTTAAAGTGAGAAACAAAACAAGTAACCATTTCTTTTCGTTTAGGACGAAAATGCCCTCATTTGGTGTGAAAAGCTGTCAGGAAAGAGACTAGGAGCCACGTAAGATGTTTCTTCTCTTTTATGGATAAATTATTTACTTACCCCTCTTCAGTTTTGTTTTGCTGTAATTTCATTAAAACAAACTGATTCGAACTCCAGATTATATTTAAAGAAACATAAAAAAAATTCTGAATTATCGTGTTTTGAATTTTTTAAAATTTATATAAATGTTTTACAATATAAAAAAGTGGTTATAAATCAAACGTTTCATTCTATGCAAAACACACAAAAGAAAATAGTATAAAACATAAAACATTCGATATAAACATACTAAAAATCAAAAACAAATTTAAAAATCAAATATACCAATTGAAGGAAAAAATTTAAAACTTATGAATAAACACAAAATCAAAAAAAAATATTTTTATAATTATCTTTAAAAGAATACGTATGTCGACTTTTTGAGAAATATGTGTTAAATACACGCCGAAAAAAAAAACTATACCCTAAGAGATACTATATAGGGAACCCAAAAGATAAATTTAAACGCAAGTCAAATAAGTACCACTTTACTCTGAATGATACAATAAACAAGATTCAAATTGTTGAGTTAAATGTACGCCAAAGAAGAACGATATACCCTAAAAATACAATATAGGAAATCCAAGCGGTCAAATTAAACGTACGTAAAAAAACATATATCATAAAGAATATAATATGTAAAATCAACATAAATTATCTTGTAAACTTGTTTATAGATAATTAAAATAGTATAGTATCAAAAATAATAGTATAGTATCAACTTAAACTGTATAGTTTGTGATCATCTTAGTTACATATTTAGCGTTAAATTTATTAGTTGTAAGAACAAATCCAAGAAACCAAATCAAAATAAAGACGGAGAAACACCAAAGTGGGTATAAATTTCTATTGATCACACAACTAATTCCATAACGACAATATAGTATAGTACATTCATGTTATTTAGTTGATTTGGAAGCACCATGGTGAATAGGTAGGTGGGAGTGGCGATGAGTTTGTTGTAAACTCGTTGTAGCCACCGAGAGTGTAGTCACGATTTTAACCGGACTTTGAATGAACGGTTTTGGATAGGTGAAAAACATCGGAAAAGAATGCGAGTCTATTGGATTCTTCGATTGAAATCCGAGTAAAAGCTGTTACGTTTATCATTCCAACAAAACTGACTTCTTCAAGAAAGGAGTACATGATGAACATATATCTCTTTTCTGTGAAATACTTCTCTAAAATCCAAATTCAATTCACTGAACGGAGACCTCTCTTATACTAATATTTATTTTGTAATTTTGAAACCATAAAAATGAAATTGACACTAAATTAAGAAATGGAAAGAAATATGAGGAGTAAAAATGACATCAATTTAAAAAGAACTCAACTATGCTTGAAATTGAAAAAGAGAAAAAAAAAGAATATTGTTTAATGTTTTAATGTCAATGGCAGATGGAAAATAGAGACAGATGGCAGATGGAGAAATGGAAACAAATGGCAAGGTTAAGATGGTCAATATATAGTTTATACAAGGTATATTATAGCCAGTTTTTTTTATAGTTACTTATTTAATTATAATTTTTTTTATGGTTATACAATGCAATTTCTCTTCATTTATCTTTCTTCAGAATTATAGATATCAAAAAATAAAAACAATTTATACTTTCGCATCACGATAGCAAATTGTTACCTGGAGAATCTGCTATATATACGAATTCAAGAAGAAGAACCATAAAAGCATAACAGAAAGAAAAAAAAGAAGCAAAAATGGCGACATGGTTTCTAATCATCTTCCTCTCTCTCACACTTGCCCTCCTTCTCCACCTCTTCCTCCGCCGCACCAACTCTCTTCCTCTACCTCCTAACCCTAACTTCTTCCCCATCCTTGGTCCCTTCCAGTGGCTCCGTCAAGGCTTCGATGGTTTTTACTCCTACCTCCGCTTTATCCACCACCGTCTCGGCCCAATCATCTCCCTCCGCATCTTTTCCGTCCCTGCCATCTTCGTCTCTGATCGTTCCTTGGCTCACAAGGCTCTCGTTTTAAACGGCGCCGTTTTCTCCGATCGTCCACCGGCGCTTCCAACCGGAAAGATCATCACTAGTAACCAACACACTATCAGCTCAGGTACATACGGAGCCACGTGGCGGCTTCTCCGTCGAAATCTCACTTCCGAGATTCTTCATCCATCTCGCGTCAAATCTTATTCCAACGCTCGTCGCTCTGTTCTTGAAAACCTCTGTTCTCGAATTCGTAATCACGGCGATGAAGAAGGAAAACCGATCGTCGTCGTTGATCATCTCCGCCACGCAATGTTCTCGCTTCTTGTTCTCATGTGTTTCGGAGATAAGCTTGATGAAGAACAGATCAAACAAGTCGAATTCGTTCAAAGAAGAGAGCTCCTCACGTTACCAAGATTCAACATCCTCAATGTCTTCCCTAGTTTCACCAAACTGTTTCTAAGAAAGAGATGGGAAGAGTTTCTTATGTTCCGTAGAGAACACAAGAACGTCTTGCTTCCGTTGATTCGATCCCGGAGAAAGATTATCGAAGAATCTAAAGATTCCGATAAAGAATACGTACAATCGTATGTAGATACTCTGCTTGATCTTAAGCTTCCTGAAGAGAAGAGGAAACTAAACGAAGACGAAATCGTGAGCTTATGCTCTGAGTTTCTCAACGCCGGGACTGATACAACAGCGACGACGCTACAATGGATCATGGCGAATCTTGTGAAAAATCAAGAAATCCAAGAGAGATTATACAAAGAGATCAAAAGCATAATCGGAGAAGAAGAAGAGAAGGAGATTGAAGAAGAAGAGATGAAGAAGATGCCTGCCGTATCTTAAAGCTGTTGTGTTAGAAGGTCTCCGGTTACATCCACCGGGACATTTGTTGTTACCACACAGAGTAAGTGAAGATACAGAATTAGGAGGATACAAGGTTCCAAAGAAAGGGACGTTTAATATCAATGTGGCGATGATAGGGAGAGATCCAACGGTGTGGGAGGAGCCAATGGAGTTTAAGCCGGAGAGATTCATCGGAGAAGAAGAAGAAGTGGATGTTACTGGAAGTAGAGGGATAAAGATGATGCCTTTTGGAGCAGGAAGGAGGATTTGTCCAGGGATAGGATTGGCCATGTTGCATTTGGAGTATTTTGTGGTGAATTTGGTGAAAGAGTTTGAATGGAAAGAAGTTGAAGGTGATGAAGTTGACTTGTCTGAGAAATGGGAGTTCACTGTTGTCATGAAGTATCCTCTTAAGGCTCGTGCTGTGCCAAGAATGAAGGATAAGACACATATTGTCATGGCTTAGAGACAACAGAACAGACTAGATTGATTTCTTGGGGATGTTTTTTTTTTTTTTTTGTTAAAGAGTGGTTTTTGGTTTGTCCAAAACGTTGCCGTTTTAATAAAGGCAGCCATTTGTGGAAACGTTGTCGTTTTCATGGCTCTCTCATTTGTTGAAAGCCCTAGAAAATGGAAATAGGACCTATAAATAATGTTGTGGATTTCATCCTTCTCAGCTTTGCTAAACTCATCTAAACAGGTCACTCTCCGATTCTTCGTATTGGAACATTCAATTGATCGATTTGGTCTTAACCAATTTCTTGGATTCCAGTGTATGATTCCTTTTAATGTTCAAAATTCTCTGCTTTCTCTTGCATATTTTGCTCGCAATGTCTCTGTTTTTTTGCTTTCATCTGTACAATGGATTCTCCTGAAAAAACTCGAATTTATAAACTGGGTCGATTCTTTTATCCTCCATTGTGGTCTTAGATTTCGAAAGTTTCTCACTTTAAACTTGTGTTAGCTCTAGAATGATTTTTTTTTAAAATATAATCTGTTTGTGACAACGTTGTGGTGGAGATGATGAATGTTAAAGTAAAAGGTCTGAGCAGGTTATCAGTGAAGTGTGTGGCTTTTGATGTTTAATTTAGTTTCGAGGAGACAAATTTTAATCTTAATAGGAGAGGGCCCTTGTCCATGCCTTGAGTCATGGCATCTGTGGCTCCGCAAACTCTCCAACAATGAACCTGATTCACCACGTGCTTGTGTGTGCAATCTGATGGGTCGATTTTTAAAGGCGTGGGGTTGCTTTCTATTATTGATTGCCGATCTAGAATTCTCCCTATATACATTGGTCTCCTTGTTCTTCTTTATCATCATTTAGCTGCCTTCATAAGTCCTGCACTGATCAAAGACCTCCTTGACTGATCCATATGAGGTTATCTAAATTGTTCTCTGTATTGCTTTGTTGAAGTTTGAAGCTTTTTGGCAAAGTTTGTTTGATGTAGGCATTGTTTTTGGTTGATGTTTATGATTTCCTCATTGTTGTATGTGCGGACTATAGAACTATTCATGTGGTTAAGCTGGAGAAGTATTCCATCTCTGTTAGTGTTTGTTTGATTGGGTTTTTCACGGTGGCCGTTTGAGTGTTAAAGAAAAGTACTCTGTTTGTCGATACTCTAGTGTCTGTCTTTCAAGTGGATTTGATTTGAAGACGTATTATATGTGTATAACCGAAGAATGATGTTCTGTTTTGCTGAATGTTGATGTTTGGATTATCAAAGAGAATGATTCTTTTTGTGTATTTCATGATGTATTGCAATGATTGATTGGTTTAGTGTGAGCAAGAAAGTGTCAAAGAAATGGCTGGGCACAAGATCGCACACGCAACTTTAAAAGGCCCAAGTGTTGTGAAGGAGTTAGTTATCGGTCTCGCACTCGGGCTAGCGGCTGGTGGGCTATGGAAGATGCACCACTGGAACGAGCAGAGGAAAACAAGAGCCTTCTATGATTTGCTTGAGAGAGGCGAGATTGGTGTTGTTGTGGCAGAGGAATGAATAGTAAAGAGATGTTATTCTCCAACAATAAGTGCTTCCACTCATGTAACTGGTTTGGCAATGACGATTATTTCAATGTAATAGGGTTAAAAACCCAGACGTCGTTTGATCTCATTAGTTTCAGCTTCAGCTTCAGGCAGTGTAACATACGATGACTTCTAGTTTCTCATCACACAAAAGAGACGAGTACTGTATGTCTAAATGATTGAAAATAAAAAGTAAAATTGACACAAAATAGAGATCAACTAATACATAATTTTGTGCATTTTTTTCTCTATTTGTGAAGAAAAAGTGTCTGTCTAAAAGAAAGGCAAAGACAAAGGACGAATAAAAAAAGACGGAAAGTCTCAACTTCCATTTGCTTTTCGCTTCCTCTTCAAGTTTTTTCTGCCATTTTTTTGCTCCACTTTCTCTCTTACAAATCTTCGAAGATAACAGATCTCGAGTATGCATTTCTAACCGCTTCACCACTTTATCAACAAGAAAAGAGAACATAAATTCCTCACTTTAACGCTTTTTTTTCTGGTCTGTTTCTCCTCAGCTTCTTGAGCAGTGACGATAAGCTCGCATCATCTCAGAAAATCCTTGGATGCTTCTTCGTGTAAACTCTTCTCTTCTTTAGGTAAGATTCAGCAATGTTGGAACTAATCTTATAAATCCTTTTTTGACTCTTCGTTTTCGGATGATGAATGTTTCCGAGTTTCTGCTCTCGCGGATTCATCTTTCTTTTTCCCATTTTTGATGAATCATTGCTGAGATTTCAGTTAAAAAGCTGTTTGGTAATCGGTATACTTCTCCTGATGCATCAATTTGATGTTTTTGGGTACATTCTGTTGTTTACAATGTTGTGTATATAAACCAACTTACTCTGTTATGTTCTTAAAATAGAGAATTTGGGACTGACCTTTATTTTGTTGTTTATCATATTCTTTAGATAGATCTTAAGGACTGTCTACAAAAAAGTCAACTTTCATAGAATTATTTATCAGTTGCTTCACTGTTATAGACAAGGATAGGATAGTTTTTGAAGGTTGTGTTCTAAGTTCTAACATATTGCCAAATCAATCAATATAGGTAATGTAGTGGTTTTCTTGATGCAAGTCTCCTCTTTCTTGATTCTGCAGGTTTACTCTTATCACAGTGTGTTGAATGGAAATGCAAGAGGATAGCTTGTGGCGTCTGTATCCTGTGCATGATATGGATACGGTCGTAACCAATAGATTACTATACTGTGATCTTTATTTGAGACAGTACAAGGAAACATTGAAACAGACCATGCTTGGCCAAGAATCTATCTTTGAAAATCAGGTAAGCTTATCAGTGTGTGTGTTCAACAGATGTTTCATCTCAGTGTTTCTTGTCTCTTATATAATGCTTGTTAGCTCAGATCTACGAGCTTCATCGTCTGTATCAAAGGCAGAAGGATCTGATGATGGAAATGGAGGAAACCAACAACTTGTACACTCAGCCTCAACATTTATTCCCAAATGCCGGGGTCTCTAGTCCTAGAAGAAGCATACACTGGATGGGTTTAAGCATCTCTTCTGCCAAGATTGATGAAGCTGGAATCTCTGGAGATGAGATTGATAAGTCTGGAGAGGTCGTCTTGGATCTTGAATTACCGTCTTACGGTGATATATGGGAAGAAGAAGGTTCAAAGAATGGGGAAGTCCTTGAAGTTCCCAACTTTCCTAAAGATCAATCTCCAAGAAGCATGTCTCTCGAATCAGTTGTCCAGCCGGAAAGTGTGCATTTACTTGGATTGTCAAATTTCAAATGTATACTCGACTTAAATGAACCTGCCAGGATCGAGGCACATTCAGATTATGAGCTTAATCAGTTCCTAATTCCAGCCAAAACAAGGAGTGAAAGAGCAGAACCAGAAGTGCAAGGGCCACCGATATCTACAAAATGTCTAGCTGGTGAGGAATGTTTACTATATATGATACTTATTATTGTTATTGGTAACATTGTCTTGATGTAATGAAAGCTATCAATGTCTTTAGAATTTGATCAGTCAATTATTTTGTGCAGAGAATGGAATTGACTTGAATATAGAATCTGAGCAACCCCGAGAGTTTGTTTCAGCTTCATTGCACGGAAAACGCGGATCAGAACCATCACGATCGATAGTTCTAGCGCTCCCATGTTCGGAAACCATTTCACTCTTCCACAAACATTGCTCACGGCCTAGGAAGAAAGCTAAATATGGAGCAAAATCCATCAATGTTAAAAATATTCCTCGCAGCAAATCCCGGAAAGGCTCAAATCTTGAATCGAACGTTGGAGTTAGTAAAGATGACAACCGTTCACTGAGTACTGCCTCGTACATCCCTGAATCTGACCATAATCTGGAGAAAGGGAGGTTAAGGTCTCTGCCTGAGATTAAGGGAAGACGTTGTAAACCACACATAGAACCAGGCAAAGTTACGAGAAAGATTTCAAGAACCAAATCAAAGGCCAGAGGGAGCTTTCTTGTTACAGAGGAAGAGGAACAAGAAAAATGTGTAGCAGCAGCAGAGGCTTTAGTTGATATGTCATTATCAGATTCAGCTAGAAAATCAAGCATCAAAAGCTCTGATTGTATCAATCCTCTGCATTGGTTTGCCATAATCGCATCTTCGGTTGTTGAAGACTCAAAGAGTGAAGTTGGATTATCCATGGCCGGGTTCCACTCTAATTACGAAATAGACTATTTTGAGGCAATGACATTGCAGCTAACAGAGATGAAGCCAGAGGAGCAAAGAACAAACACTTCAGTCTCTAATATTGGTCATCCTAAACACAAGAGAACCCTGCGCAGTCGAGGAAAGCGACAACAACACAACGAGTTTCTCCTGAGCCTAAGCACTTTTACCGGAAACGAAGCCTCTCGGGATGTACAGAAGATAGGAAGGCTAATTGAAGCTACTGAAAGGAATGATGCTCACTCAAGCTTGATGGAAAATATGGTAATCGATTGGGGAACCGTAACAAAACGAAGAAGAGGCATCAGAAGTCCTGCTGTTAATACCAAAACTTCCATGCCTTTTCTGCTTTCAGATTCTTGAAGAATCAACGTCTCGTTACACTTACAGTAATCACACCACATAGGAGATATATACTGAAAAACTCACTAAAAGAGTGAAAGTTTTGTTTTTTTTGCTTTTAGAATTTTAAAAACTAGATGGTACTTAAAAGAAGTTTATATATAAATATACTACAGAAAGTTTAGATCTTTAGTGTTTTTTAAACAGAAGGAATTTCTTGGGTAAAATAAGGGTCTTGAAGAGTTTCTTGAAGAAGATCATCGTCGTCCCAAGAATCACGGTAAGTCTCCAGATTTTCGATGGAATTGACTATAGCCGATACACACAAGACCTTTCTCCATTCTTCTAAATGTGGAAATCCAATGTAATCCGCGTATTTATCGCTATACTGAAAACGATGAGAGAAAAAAAACAGAGCTTTATCAGATGAAAAAGACCCAACTTTGGGCCAAAAAAAAGGGAAAAGGGAGAGACTTTGTACATTGAAATCGGCGATGTCGTGAGTGTTGCGTTTTGGGATTCCGTCAGCTTCTCTGGAGAGGTAGAATTCAGAGATTGATTGCATCATTTGATCTGAGGAAGGAAGACATGTTTTGCCTGACAAAAGCTTCGCAATCCATTTCGCTTGTGATTCGAAGAATGGGAACCCAATTAACTGCAATAAACCGGTTTGATTTAATTAACCGAGTATTGATTTGAGATTAACTTTCGATTAGTAAATCCTAATCATTGTACCTTTCGAGGGATTCCGACAAAGGAGAGAGAAGGGGAGAGATAAGGAGAGAAAGTATGTTCGAAGAGTGGTCCAACTCTATTATCATCAATTTCTACTCTTCCTTTGCTCTCAAGAAATGGCAATTTGTAATCATACCTACACGTGTTAATTTGTGCCCACATTTTTAGTCCTTTTTTTTGTTAGTAAACTTCATAAAATATCCCAAATCTAACAATGTCAAGAAATGTTTATTATATATGTGTGTGTTGTTCATGTATATATTCCACAATCCAGACAGTTTTCTTCTGTAACTATTCATATGTATTTTATAGAAAAAATCGAAGAGATGAATAAATGGAATGACAATGTCGGCCCCAAGAAATAAGGACAAGAAAGTTGTCGTGGAAAGAAATAATAACTTACCCGGTACAGTATAAAATAGTGTCGGCTACAATACAAGACCCATCATCGAAGATGACCCGTCCATCTTCTTCTAGAGATTCAATCTACAACCATTATTAATTGAAAAGATATCAAAACGTTTTAAATAATTTCAAAACATATAATAAATTAAATGCATGTATATATGTGATGGTGATGGTGAGAGTGTACCTGAGGATGAAGATGAAGATTTTGATGTTTTTCAATGACTTTAGTCAAGCCAGGAGGAATCTCAAGTGATTTGGCACTTAGATGAACTTCCTTTGCCACTTTCACAAGCTCTAATGATATGTCTTGTCCACTCATTGAGCATCCAACGACAACCACAACCTATCATCATCATCATCATGCATGCATGCTTAATGCTTCATACATCATGAAATCATCTAATTTATTAACTACTTACGTACTACAATGAACACAATTTAATCACCTCATCACGAAAAGGATCAGGCACTCTATAGATATGGCTATGAAGTTGCTTCCTCTTCCACAAATCCATTCCTATAAACACCAAAACCATCATTAAAAAAATACCCTTCTTATGATCTTTAAAGATAATCGCATATAGCTTTATATACAAAAACAATACCTTTGATGGAAGGCAATCTAGGATAAGAGTAATGGCCAGAGGCAACAACAACAGCATCAAACACTTCTTCCATAACCTCACCGCTCTCCTTCTCAACACTCTTTACCATCCATCTCTTCACATCATCATCTTCATTCACCATTCCCACAAACTCAACCCTAACATTAAACCTAATCATATCTCTTAACCCAAACACTTGACAAAAATCCTTGAGATACAACCAAAGCTCCTCATGCCCCGGGAATCTCCTCGAGTCTCTTCCTTCCTTCGCGGTGAACGGAAAATCAGAGAAACCCATTACCTCTCTTGGCGAAGCCAACCTCAAGGATGAGTAAACACTGCTATGTACTTTTAGGATTTTTGTTTTTCCCAATGTATCTTCTTCTTCTACGTTTGGCTGGTATAGCCACTGACCTCCTACGTCGTTGTTTTGCTCCATCACCACCACTTTATGTCCT